TCCGAGCGGATACCTCAACTGAAATACATACCTCAAACATGGTACCGTAATTATAATCAATGTAGTACATAGTCTGAGTCCCCACCTGAACTGCTGAACTGAACGGTAGTGTTGATGCCTGATCAAACTCTTGAAGTACTCGTCGGAATCTCGCAACCGATCGTGACCTTACGTGTGTGTGCGCCGTGTGCGACACTTGCCGTGCGATGCTTCGCCAATTGCCGTGCGTGCGGAGTGTGGAAAGCTTAATGTAATATACTAACTTAATTGGTACTGAATTTAGGGACTTAAGCTGCTGATATAAGGCTGCATATATGTGGTAAAGATGAGGAAATTTCCAAATTCTTATGCTATTAATAAAGAAGGCCGTAAGAGGTTGATGACGAGAGTTAAACGTGGCTCTCCCTAATATTGACATTTGCTTCTCTTTAAGATAGGTTGAAGATGACTAATGATCCCCCTTTAGTTCCTACTAATGACACGTGGGAGGTTAAATAGTTGGAAGGAATTTAATTTCCTTAATACTTAGGAAAAGTGAAGAAAAAGAATTTGGAAACATAACACACTTATGCTTACGACTTTTGAACTAAAATTGAGCCATCTTCTTTAATCCCTCACGGCTTAACACTTATTGATGTGATTAATTAACAATTAATCACTTTCTTTATGTTTAATCCTTAATTAAACATAGTGCTTAATTACCAAAATTATTTCGAACGTAAACGGTACGTCGAAAATAAATATCGGTAACCTCGACTGAAAATAATTAATTCCGAAAATAATAAACGTTAACATTATTATATCGGAATTAAAACATAATTTAGACCGATAAAATATCGGGATATTACAACTAAAATTCAGATCTAGAATTGCAGTGACATAATTTAGAGTTGGAATTAAAGGGACTTAATTTTGTGAATTTGATAAGTCATAGGGACTTTATTGTAATTTCTAATATTTTGATATATTACAATTTAGTTCTATGTGTCAAATTTATAATTAACTAAACTAATGAATGTTTCAATATTGTTTATTTAATTTTTGAAAATAGATAATACATTGCATAAAGATATAAAAAATGATAATAATATTTTTTTTATACAATTTGGACGTTCGGTAATTTCGGTTATGTAACGAGATAACCGAGTCTTTTTTAAAGTAATGCAAAACAATCAAAACCGAAATTTAAAATTTTGAACCGAAAAAAATTAGGTCGTTTTCGTTATATATTGTGCAATCCAATAGTCACTAAAGTGCAATTCATACAACCATACAGTGCACCCATACAGTGCAATACAAAAGTCTCTAAAGTTCAATTCATACAACCATACAGTGCACCCATTATTCAATAACCGTAATAATGTTCATTTACATATAAATAATAATAACTTCAGATAATAATAAAAAAAAAGGTCAATGTTGTGCAATATGATGGTCCTCAGAGTGCAATCTGTCTGACACTTCTGTGCACTTATGGCGCAAACATTTTCATGACTTGTTTCACACAAAATAAAATCCAACCTTAATATTCGGCTACCGATGTACCTTAAACAATAAAAATAATTTATTATTTATATTATAAAAAATATGTTAAGTATTTTAATATATATAGCTAATATTATATATATTTATTGTTGAAAATACATATCATATTAAATACCATTATCGTTATTGTGCATTCCGACATGTATTGATGTGCATTTATTTTTAACTTTTATTTGTCCATTGTGTAGAATTATATTTTGTTATGTTCATTTTTCATTATACAAACCTCTAATAATTTGTATTTCCACTGTCCTAAATAATCTCATTAATTTATTATTTATATTAATTTTTTTTTGTATGTGAGAAATGTTATTTAATTTTTCATATTATTTTTGAAAAAAAATGTAATATACAAAATACCGGTCTCGATAAAGTGCAAGCACGCATGCATTAATGTGCATCTAATATAACATTATTGTGCAAGCTATTTAAGCGAGTATTTATTATGTGCATTTTGATTTTGGATATATATATACACATTATTTATTATATATTTATATAATAATGATAATAAAAAAACATTTTATATTTGTTCGGTCGGTTTCATTATTTTATTTTTTACCTTTTTTTGTAAATAAAACAATCGTACTAAATCATATGTGATTGATTTGCATTCTCGTACGCATTAATGTGCACTAAGTCGAACACTATTATGCTTTTTTTTAGTATTTTTATATTTTTTGTTTAATATTTTCTATTAATATATTTTTAAATACATATTATATATATGTCTAAAAAACATATACAAAAATAATATTTTATATATTTTCAGAAATTACAAATTTGCCCAAGGTACTCAATTGTAATATAACCAAAATCTTATAAATTTCAACTAAGCCCTTCAATCCTATCTAATTCTCAAAATAAAGCCCACACAATTGAAGTTGTTGCAGCACCTCTCTCTGGATAGCGGCGGCGACAGATGTCGGGAATGAGACGGCTGCGGCAGTCGGATGGCGGATCGGGGCGGCGGCGGCAGCGACGGCGGCGGTCGGATGTCGCAAACAGGATGGAGGCGATAAATGGACGTCTGCGACTCTCAGGCAGACGAATGGAGCCCATCTTCTCCTACATTAACAAGGTCGGCGGCGTGCGATGGTGGGAGAAGGCCCGACGAGGTACTTCATGGCTGAATTCATGTCTGCCTTACACCGAGGGGAAGGCGGCAAAGTGGCAAAGAGAAGATGTTGTTGACCTTGGTTTTATGATCTCAGCCAGAGGCAGCTGTCGTCGAGCTCGGCAGCAGAGGAGGCTGTTTTCGGCTGTGGAGTATCAGCGGCGGAGTGTGGCGGCCCAAGAGGCGGGCGCCGCCGTGTGTGTTTATCGGTGATGTGTGTGTTGTGTGTCGATTGTGTGTCTGTGTGTGTTGTTTT